GTGGAGTCTGGCAATAACGGTGCCAATGTAAGGTGCCATCTGCTTTGCAAACCTCGTTTCCTGATGTGACCGAGGCAGTTCAGAAGATACAGCTAAAGTGTTTCTTTCCCTCGGGTCCTCGGCTCTCTTCTTGGTTCAACCCTGGATCAATCTGGGATTACAAGGGCTTTCAGTGGGACCCCAGGCCATTTCTCTGAGGCAGGGATTAAGTTCTGCTCTCCTCAACACGTCCGTCAGGGCCAAAGTAGCGGGGTCGATTCTTGCTCTTTGCCAACAGCCTCGATGGGACATTTCTTAACTTGGGATTGCTTCGCTCTTAGTTTGGTCCTTCACTTCAGTTCAAAACGGGCTTGGATGGGATTGCCAATTTCATCACTTTGCCAGGATTATGGCTTTCGGTTCAATCTGGGAATGCTTGGGATTACAAGTGTCTCATGGCATTAGGCCTCCAGGTCATTTCTCATGAGCTGGGACTGCTTCATATTCTTCTCAATTCGGCTGACGGGGTTAAGTGGGGTTGTCTCTCACTCTTTGCCCAAGGCCTCGAAGTTTCAAGCTTCTTCTTGGGGTAGTTTGGCGATCAGTTTGCTTCTTCACCTCAGTGCAAATGGGTTTGGCCTGGGATTGTTAGTCTCACTTCGCTGGCCAGGACGATGACTGCCGTCCGATCCCTGATAAAGTGCATCTCTTTTCTCTCTCTCACCATCTTTTGAATCCACATCTTTCGGTTGTCCTGATGTCCTGGTGCCTTTCTGTAGTCATTTTGGTTCAATTCGCTTTGCCCGTTCTGCCCCAACCTCTTCTCAAGTTATCTGGGAACACACTCTCATGCTTGCCCCTCAGAAGGTCGTCAGGCCATGGAATTCAAAGTCACTCCAGTGCTGCGTCTTCGAGGCGTGGGCATCCGCCTGCCCACGTGCACTGGCAATCGAAAGTTCCGAGATCGTTCCTGTAAATTCAGGATCATACAACCCACGGAAATGCGTCACACTCCACATGTATGAGAAGGGGCGCGAATTCGAGATACCTCTCAGGCAGCTATGGAATCTCTTTGAGGAATTTTTCTCAAGTAAGGCATGCAAGGACCTTATTGGGATCGTGGGAATTGCAGTACGCTCTATGTCTTTTGTACAGATTAAGACAATGTCATACAAGGGCGCAGTGTTCTACGACAACCGCTGGTCAGATCCTGGGAATTTCATTTACACTGTCTGGTGGAATATTTGGGGTCAAATGGCCAGGTATCTTCAAAGACGACAACCTACCAGTGCCTCGTCCAAGTCCATGGAGGAGCTTCGCTCAGTCGCTGGTCGTGTCACCGATGTACAGAGGATGGTCCGAGAGCGGTGGAACAGGGAACCCGACACTTCTCGATGGCTAGAGCTTATTGGAGATTTGATGGAGCTAGGGTTGGGAGCGGGGTATGTTGACCCAGATCGGTTCTGGAACATACTTCAGGGGATTTCTCCCATCATCTGCTCCATTCGGTCTATTTTGACGTTTGCTGATCAACATGGGTCTTTTGCTAGGACCGGGAAAGACCGTCGCCTTTTTCGCGGCCCATGTGCACCCCACACTCGGAAGTTTGCCGTGGCAATGTTTCACGGAATGCAAGTGCACAAATTTAATGTTACGGAATCTTCAGAGGTCTGGGTATCTTACCTAATTGCGGCCTCAGAGAACAGGCTCCAATACTAATGGAGCGGGGGTATTTGACGCCCCACGGAATTTGCATTTGGGTCTGTATCGAGACCTCTTTGTGTTCTCCTCTCTCCTCCTTGCCTCCCACCTAGGGGATTGGCTGACACCAGGAGATGTCACTTGTGCGATTCTATCTGGGACCCGCCTGGTCCATGCGATCTTAGGGACTCCGTGGCTTCGCAACAATCCCTCCTTCCTCAGGATGCCTCTGTGTTTTGGGACTCGGGTCTGTTTGTCTCTCTTGGGGTTTGGGGGGATGGGCCCCTCCCCTACCCTTGCCTCCTGTCGGCTCCTGCAGTCTCGGGCTCAAGCTTCCGGTATGCTACTTCCCAAGGCTTCGGAACCTCACGTTATCTTTCAGGGGAAGCTTTGCAGGTCTAAACGCAAAGTCTGCTTCCTGTCTAAACAAGATCTTGAGGCACTCTCATACTGCTCTACGCTGCTATTCCAAAGGGTGGTCAAGTTGCCGGCTCGGTTTCTTATACCATCGGACCTTGGTGGTCCTCATTTCACATATGACTGGTGCAAAATCCCGCTTTTCAAAGCTTGTCGGGACAGCGGCTTTAATGGACTGTATGTCAACGTTCGGGGTCCCGACGAAAGGGTTCGGAGAGTTCCTTGGAAAGAACTGGCTGCTGGTCAGTAGCCGTTTCGCCTCAAATCCTGGCGGGAACTCTTGTCCGAGACGGCTGGGAAACATCCATATCCAATTCCAGGGGATGGCCAAACGCAGCCTTCCAGTCAAGCTCGCCGCCAAGAAGCGTCTCAAGTGGACACACGGCTCAGGAGGAATGTGGAACTACTGTGAAGAGGACAAAGTCTACACCAAAGTCTGGTATACGGAGTACTATGACACGTGGTTCGACCCCGAATCGGGCTGGCCTCACCCAGTTGTATGGTACCTGTCTGACTACTGGTGGGACGGAGACTTCTTTGTGGAAAAGTGGCGTTGGAAGTACCCGTGAAGGCCATTCCTGGGACTCCGACAGACTGAACCTCCTGGTGTCTGCGGTGCATGGGCCTGCGGCTTTTGGAGGACTCTCAGTCTCCCTCAATCTCTCTTGCATGTTCTTCAACGTTGTTGGTTGGCAAAATACAAAAGGTTATAAACATTCCCAGCCATCTTGCGTCCTCCATACCTGTTTGAATTCAACCTTATTCCATATTTCTTGATATGCCTGGGGTGGGTTCTCACGGTTGGGTTCTCACTCTGCTTTGACAGTCCATTTTGTATGCCTCCGTATCTTCTGGGTTCATTGCGTGCTTGGGACATTCAGTTTCTATTTCAGACTCTCTTTCAGTACATATATCCGTCTTGGTTGCTACTTATGTTCAATGGGTTTCATGGGACTTAATGGAAGATTTCTTCACTTCTTACTTACTTCAGACCTTGGGACCATATGCCCTCAAGTTTGGCTTCAAGAGTTACTCAAGTCACTCAAGATATGGTTGATCGATTTGGGCATCCTCCATTACCTTGCATTACGTTTCTCATTTTTCTCATCTTCATTCAAAGCAAGAGAGACCTTGTGGTGGGATTCATTTGGGACATCGGGCAGTCTGTCATTCATGATTTCTTTCAGCATCATGGGTTTCAATCCTGGGCTGGGCTTCACCTTTCCTCCGCTTCCTCCCTCTCCCGCCTCTCCTTCCGCTTCCCTCTTTCTCTACCGTGCGCATTTGGCGTATTGGTGGCTTCTCAGGTTTGTGTTTTGGGAGAACCGACCTTTCAAGGCGCTTCATCATCATCATCATCATCATCACCAAGGCAGCGTTCCAGAACCGGTTTGATTGGAGTAAGGTGCTTGCTGAAGCAGGGTTAGGCGAGGGCGTCCACCCTGACAACCTTGAGCATGAGGCGGCAATGGCAGCACTTCTTCGGAAAGAGACTGAGAGCCTGGACCTGGACGCGAAAGCGGCAGCAGCCAGGGCAGAGCGAGAGGAGCAAGAGGCAGCAGCCGCAGCAGCAGAGGCAGATGCAGCATCAGCAGCATCGACAGCACCAGCAGCACCGGTGGCGGCGGTGGCGCCAGCGGCCCCGCCGCTACCTGTACCTCCACCTCCTCCGCCTCCTGCCCCTGGCGACGGGGGAGACCCCGGCGATCCCGACGATGTGCCTGACGAGGACGACGACATCGACGTCGCGGCCGTCGCGGACGATCCGCGCATTGCATTGGCATTAGAATTGTGGCGCCAGAAGAGTCAGGAGGGGGCCCAAGTATTGAGGGAGCGAGCACGCGTTGGTCCAGTCGGCGGCGGTCTGCTCGTAGGTCCCTATCCGATGTCGGTGATGTGGCTCGACGAACTCGATGCCGCTGGCGAGCGCGTCCAGGCTTGTGTGCTGGTAAAGTGGATTGAACCAAGGACCTTCTCGGGGCGGCGTGTTCGAATTGACCACACCCGAAACCCTCCCCGTGCAGTGTGGCCCACGCAGCAATGGTCGCCGCTGCGCTCCTTCGAAACTGCCCGCATGATCCATCCCAACATTGGGTATTATGTCGAGAAGGCCAGGACCAACGAAAATACGGTGGTGCAGCCGCATGCGTTGAGGTCGGGGCCCTATAGCGCAGGGGCGCGCCAACCGCTGACCCCCTGACCCCGGCCCCCCCCCCACCGACGCCGCCCCCCCCACACCCCTCCACCACCTCGCCAAAGGCTTTGCCAAATTGTATGGGTCAATAGAGTCAATAGGATCGGTTTGTTTGGATGCTTGCACCAATAGCCTAATAGCGCCATGTGCTTTACTATTTGCCCCATCCCCCCCCAGCAAGCGATGGCGGCGTCGCCCAGGGGTTTGGGGGTTTGTCTGGACCCACCACCACCACCCTGTCCTCGCAGATCACCACAGTATGATATGTTCGGCTTGCAGGCTGGCTGGTGGTTGGGTGGGACTGGCTGGATGGCTGGTTGGCCGCGTCCTTTCGGGTAGTGCGTTGAGGCGTTCAGCATATCAGCAGCAGATGGCATAGGCAGAGCGGCATGGCTGCATAGCATGCGTAGCATCGTTAGGCTCCAGCCAGCAGCAAACCCGCCAGAAGGCCCAGCGGCGGCCCGATGGGGAGGAGGCGGCCTGAGGAGGCGGAGGAAGGAGGGACCTGGCCAGGATGAGGGGGTGCCAAGATACCAAGTGCGGCGGGACCCCAGGGGGCACGCAAGAGGGCCCGAGGGGCCGAGGGAGGGGGGAGGGACGGGGATGAGGCGGCCTCATAGGACGTGTGAGCTGTGGAGGAGTCAGGGGGGGGTAGGGGCGTTGAGGAGTTGAGGAGTTGAGGGGGTATGGTCGCCTGGCCGCCTGGAAGGTTGAAGCGGATGGCGGAGCTCGCATTCGCAGTTGGCGAATCTGACACTGCCTCCCTCAATGCGTGCTGCTTGTGCGAGACGGATCTGTCAGACTCAGAGGAGACAGCCCGCGAGTGCGCTCTGTGCTTGCTCACGTTCCACGACTCCTGTGGCCAGCTGCTCTCCACGCAGATCAGTGGAACGCTGGACGGGAGGCGCCCCCCGGACGCTGACAACTGGTTCTGCGACTGGATGAACGTCGGCCCCCTCGGGGTCCAACTCTGCCACCTGTGTAGGCATATGATGTACGCGGACCGCCGCGTCCACGAGTGAGCGTCCGAGGCCCTCGAGGCCAGTATTTGGGACGGCGAACGGGGTACAGGGGGACAGGTGGGCGGGCCGGTTGCAGGTAGGGTCTGGGCCAGCTCAGCGATGCCTCCGCTCTCCTTCCGCCCACCCTCGCTTCCCTTCCGACAGGCACGACAGGGCAGCCAGGCATTTTGTGTCATAATCATGTCCCTCCCCTCCCCCCCTCTTCCCTCCTCGGGACTTCGGACTTCGGGACTTCCCCCCTCTCTATCTCTCTCTCGCTCTCCCTCTCGCTATCCCTCGCTCGCTCTCTAGTCTCTCGCCCTCTCTCTCTCTCTCTCTATCGTGCCCTCTCTCTCTCTCTCTCTCGTGCCCTCTCTCTCTCTCTCTCTCTCTCTCTCTCTCTCTCTCTCTCTCCCTCTCTCTATCTCTCGACGCCTCGTCGTGTCCTTCGTGCTCCACGTGTCTCAACCCCCACACTCACCCACTCACCGTGCTCACCCGCTCCGCTGTCCTTGGGCTGTCCCTGTTGCTCCGGCGCTCCGGCGTGCATCGGCTCCGCTGCTCCGTCGCTCCGTCGACCTCAGCCCCGCCGCCTGCCACCCGCCTGCCCGCCGGCTGCCGGGCGGCCGGCGCCGCCGGTGCACGGTGCCAGGCCCCCTGATCATCATGATGATCATGCTGTCATGCTAATGATGTACACAACCTGCGGACAGGCGCGCGCTAGCCGCCCGCCCGCCGCCCGCCCGCAGCAAACGCCGGGGACGAGACGAGGAGGGATGACATGATGATGATGATGATGATGATGATGATGATGGTGGTGATGGTGGTGGTGATGGTGATGATGGTGCTGGGTCGGATGGTACTGATACCAACCCACCACCCACAACAGCGATTCACTTCACCAAACCGACTCTCCCGACACCCAAAACTGTGAAGCATTTCACCACATCGACCACCCCCGCACCCAAACCCGCGAAACACTTCACCAAACCGCCCCCACAACCACCCACAACCGCGAAGCACTTCACCAAACCGATCACCCCACCACCCAAAACCGCGAAGCATTTCACCAAACCGACCCTTCCCACCTCCCAACACAGCGAACCGCTTCACAACACCGACCCTCCCACCACCCCAAACCGCGAAGCACTTCACCAACCCGACCCCGCCCCCCCACCCATCCCAACCACCCCAGACCGCGAATCACTTCGCCAAACCGACCCTTCCTCCCACCCAGCACCCAAAATCACGACGCACGTCCCCAAACCAACCGTCCCGCCACCCAAAACCGTGAAGCACTTCACCAAACCGACCACCCCATCACCCAACGCCGCGACGCACTTCGCCAACCCGACCCCTCCACCACCCAAAACCGTGAAGCACTTCACCAAACCGACCCGTCCAACCCCCCCGCCCGGCACCCAAAACCGCGAAGCGCTTCGCCAAACCGACCCCCCACCACCCCAAACAGTGAGTCACTTCACCAAACTGACCCCCCCCCCCCGCACCCGAAACCGCGAAGCACTTCACCGACCCGCCCTCCCCCCCTGACAACCAAAACCGCGAAGCACTTCACCAAACCGACCCCCCCCACCACCACCCAACACCGCGAAGCACTTCGCCAAACCGACCCCCCTGACAACCAAAAACCGTGAAGCACCCCCACCACCCCAAACAGTGAATCACTTCGCCAAACTGACCCCCCCCGCGCCCAAAACCGCGAAGCACTTCACCAAACCGACCCCCTGGCAACCAAAACCGCGAAGCACTTCACCAAACCGACCCCCCCACCACCCAGCACCGCGAATCACTTCGCCAAACCGACCCCCCCCTGACAGCCAAAACCGCGAAGCAACTTCGCCAACCCGATCCCACCACCACCAAAACCGCGAAGCACTTCACCAAACCACCCCCCCCACCGCTCAAACCGCGAACACTTCACCAAACCACCCCCCCCCCCCCCAGCCCAAACCGCGAATCACTTCGCCAAACCGACCGACCACCCCCACCACCCCAAACCGCGAAACACTTCACCATACCGACCCCCCCCCCGCCACCCAAAACCGCGAAGCACTTCACCAAACCGACCCCCCCATCACCCCAAACCGTGAAGCACTTCACCAAACTGACCCCCAACACCCAAAACCGCGAATCACTTCGCAAAACCGACCCCCCCCCATCACCCAAAACCGCGAAGCACTTCGCCAAATCGACCCCATCCACCACCCAAAACGGTGAAGCACTTCGCAGTTTTACATGAAAACTGTGAAGTACTTCACCGTTTTGTTGTTATGTATATTATAAATCAACGGTTTTCGTGAAGCACTTCACGGTTTTAATATAAAACGGTGAATTGCTTCACCGTTTTGTTGTTATGTATATTATAAACCAACGATTTTTGTGAAGCACTTCACGGTTTTAATATGAAACGGTGAATTGCTTCACCGTTTTGATGTTATGTATATAATAATGCAACGATTCTCGTGAAGCACTTCACCATTTCAACTTAAAACGGTGAAGTGCTTCACCAGTTTATGATGCTGTGTGTATACAGTCAGTACATACAATATATGTATATGATATGTTTATGTTATATACCCCCCCCCCCCCCCCTACACCCGCCCGACAGGCCGCCTGCTGGTGCTGGCGGCGGTGCTGATGCTGGCGCCGGCGGCGGCGCTGGCGGCGCTGGCGGCCCTGGCGGAGGCCCGTCGCCGCGGCCCGCGCGCCGCGCGCCAGTGTGCGTCGTCGTCGAGTCGTCGTCGTCGTCGTCGTCGTCGTCGTCGTCGTCGTCGTCGTCGTCGTCGTCCGTCGTCGGTCGTCCGGCCGTCGTCGTTCGTCGTCGTGTTGTCGTGGTCGTCGTGGGCGTCGTCGCCGTCATCACGACGTCCTCGTCGTCGTGGTCGTCGTTCGTTGTCGGTCGTCGTCGGTCGTCGTCGTGTCGTCGTGGTCGTCGCGGGCGTCGTCGCCGTCGTCACGACGCCCTCGTCGTCGTGGTAGTCGTCGTCGGTGTGGTCGTGACTCAGCTCGTGACCGTCGTGACCGTGGTCGTCGTGACGTGCTAGCCGTGGTCGTCGTGGCGTGGTCGTCGTGAGTCGTCGCCGTGGTCGTGGTCGTGTGGTCGGCGTCGTCGTTCCCGACGTCGTCGCCGCCGCCGCGTCGTCGTCGCCGTCGTCGCCACCGCCGTCGGCGGCTCGGTGGCCCTCCTCCGCCTCCTCCTCCTCCCCCACCCTTACCCCCCCATTATCCCCTTACCTCCTTCTCGTCCTCATCCTCCTCCCTCAGCCTCCTCCTCCTCCTCCTCCTCCTTCTCCTCTTCCCTCCTCACCGGTCGCCGCGAATCAGACCCCGGGCCCCGCTCCTCCCCCCCGCTCGTCCTCAGACTTCTCAGACCTCCGACCGTCGCCTCCGACCTCCGTTCGCCCGTCATACCCCGACCCCTGCCGCCCTATTGTACTATATGCCTGCTCTCGTCGCCACCGCCCCCTCCTCACCCCCCCCCTCGTCGTCTCGTCGCCGTCGTCGTCGTCGTCGTCGTCGAGTCGTCGTCGTCGTCGTCGTCGTCGAGTCGTCATCGGCAGCCGTCCTCGTCGCACTCGAGGCGTACTCCTTGTCCTCCTCCTGTCCTCCTCCTCCATCTCCTCTCCGACTCTCCTCCTCCTCCCCCTCCTCCTCCTCCTCCTCCTCCTCCTTCTCCTCCTCTCCTCCTCTCCTCCTCCTCCTCCTCCTTCTCCTTCTGCTCCTCTCCTCCTCCTCCTCCTACTCCTCCTCCTCCTCCTTGCACCTTTTACCTCCTCCTCCTCCTCGTCCTACCGTGCTCCCCGTATCCTTCCCCCACCTCTCAGCCTCGCCTCCTCCGCTCCTCCGGCCCATCGGTCGCGCCGGTCACCGTTGCTCTACCAGTCGTCTAGTCCGCCGATCCTCCTTCCTCTCCTTGCCCGTCAACGCCGTCATCGCCACCTCGCCCACCGCTGCCGTTTCAGCGAGAGAGATTGCGAGATTGCGTGATATTGCGCCACTCCTGCCACTCCTCGCGCTCCTGCGGCGCGCCGCCGCGTCGTGTCATGGCGAAGAAGGGGCAGCAGCAGCTGAAGCCGCCGACGCCGCTCGCCCAGGCGCCAGATGCCCAGGCGCCAGGAGATGGGCGTGGGCGCGCGCGAGGGCGAGGGCGAGGTGCTGCCTCGGCTAGCGCCTCGGGCGGTGGAGCTCGTGGAGGGCGTCGCCGCTTGCGCGCGTCGCCGTCGGGCGGCGGCGACGACGCTGGCACCGCCGCCGACGCCGCCGACTCCGACGGGGAGGTGGTGGCCCGCCTGGCTGCAAGGACGGAGTCAGTGCTTGACCGCCTGCGCGCCAAGCGCGCTAGGCGCGATGCGGAGGGCGCCGCCACCGGCGTGCCGACCGTCGAGGGCGCGCTCTGCCACATGCTCGATGCTGGGTCGGGGCCCCCGCTGGCAGCGCCGGTGCCGTCTGAGCAGCTGCCGACGCCAGCAGCTCGCGCCATGGGCGCCGAGCGCGACCTGAGCGTCGCGGGCGTCGCCGGCGAGAGCGGCGAGAGCAGCGCAGCCCGCGCTGCCTCAGCGGCGGCGGCGGCCGGTGTCGCTGGGGACGAGATGTTCAGCGGCGCGCCTCCGCTGATCGCTGCAGGCCGCGGGGGGCGCGGCGATGATGGCGACGGCGACGCGGCCCCACTTGCGCCGCCAGCCGTCGCTGCAGGTCGCGAGGGGCGCGACGGTGATGCCCACGGTGATGCCGGCGGAAGCGGCGCGTCCCCGCCGACGCCGGCGGCCGTTGTCGCAGGCGGCGAGTCGGCCGTGGGCCCCCACGCGATCCCACTTGCGCTGCCAGCCGTCGCCGGAGGATGCGAGGGGCACGAGGATCGCGATGCTATGGCAGCCATTCCCGCCGAGAGCGGCGCGCCTCCGTCGACGCTGGCAGCCGTCGCCACTGGCG